AGTTAATTAAAGTGTGACCAAAGTACACCAATTTTCAGTTATTAACCATAAAAAGATAAAATTGAGTCGAAAGTTTCATTTGTGCACCTACAAATTTAAGGCACGTGAAATGCCTTAAAATTCTCTATAATTGAACCAAATTTATTGTTCAAAAAAAAAATTCTACCTATGATATTCTAGTATATGTAGTGTATGCATATACACACATATCAGTAAGATTTTATTTCAACAGACACATAAATTAAAATAATTTAAATATAATATTTGAAAAATGGACAAACAGAAAAAGACATTAAAACTCGGGACAAAAGTCAAGATTTGCGTAATGTCAGGCCAAGTAAAATCGAAGTCAATAAATAATTTGGCTTAAATGACATAAAAGTAATTTTTAATGTTAATGGCAGATTTGATTTGAAAAACATTGGACATAAATTTTGCAGAAACCTGAGATAGATTTCGTGCCGGTACTTGTTGGGCACTGCTCGCTACTCACTATTCACTACTCGATACACGATACTCGCTGTCACTGCTCGCTGCTCGCTTTGGTTGATCTTGTTAAAATATTTAACCAGTAATTAAGCAGCGAATAGTCAAAGCCCGCGTTGAGTGGCGCGCATTTGTGACAAAATTTTGATTTGTGATTTTACCCCTGCGGCATTTCGTTCACGTGCAGCTGCGCCTGAAGCACCCAGTGCAGCCACTGCAGCTAACCCAAGAGTCAAGTGGGTTAAGGACGTAGTCTTTTTCCTTTATGGAATGAATAAGCTTACTGAAATGTTGACTGTCATTTATATAGAAAAAAGGTAAACACCTACAAAACGATAATCAATAGATTTTTTATCACAAGGCGAGTGGGTGTGCACATATGTTATTTCTTGTTAATTATTGTTAACTATGTTTTATTGCTTCAAGAGAATTTAAAAGATAGATCAACATATGTATCGCAGATGCCATAAGTTTATGTTGAACACTGCAATTATTGATAGTTAACACATTATTAGTATTAACAGTCACAACAATACGGCAAAAAACAAATATAACAATCACATTAACTTTAATTACTCAGTAAACAGTAGCACCAAGAGCTCAACAGTTCATGGTTAGAGCTCAAGAAGTAACTGAAATTCTTTCTCATGAATAAATCTTGTTAACTTTAAGCACGAATAAATTTAAACTTACCTATCTACAGCTTTGGCTATTTTGTTTAACTGTTCCCGGGATAATAAAACTTTTTTTTAACTCAATGCATTTTCTATTTCTCGCACTGTGTCTTCACAAGTAGACCTCACAATGGTTCCAGTCTTCACAAATAAGTTTTTTCATTTCAGCATAGTTCCATATGTATGCCAAAGAATCGAAAACATCCAATATATGCATTTCTCTCTAGATAATAGTAGTAGTATTATTAGCTCTACTTTTACTTCATTTTAAATTTGTTGTATTACATAGATATTAATAACAAATATATTATGTATATAAACCTTACAGCTATGGCATTTTAGCCGTCTGCCGGACCATGGAGTAATAAATATGAACCAGCTCAAAGCATTGCGGAAGTCGATTTCAGCGTTGATACTTTTCTGTTTCTTTTACAATAATTTTGAAGTGAACTGTTATGGACAGGTGTTCGACAAGGCTGTCTGATGTCGCCTATTTTGTTTTAATTGTGTTAGACGATGTCCTTACTAAAACTATTGTCCAGTCACAACGGGGTATGCACTGGGGGCTTTCAAACCATCTCAGGGTCTAAAATATGCTGACGACATTTGCATTCTCTTAACACGACAGAACGACATGCAAAATAAAATCAACGACTTAGTTCATCACGAAAAGTTGATGAAAAATTGGTCTTATAGTGAACACGGCAAAGACAAAGGCAATGAAGATAAACAATTCTGACCCAACCACCAAATTCAACCTGGACGACACAAAAATCGATAACGTCAACAGCTTCACATACTTATGTAGGTAGTATAATATCGCCGGACGGTGGCGCGGCAGTCGACAACCAAAGCCGAATTAATAAGGCATGTTCCGCCTTTTTGTTACTGAATAAAGTTTGGAACTCTTCAATACTTTCCCAGCACACCAAGCAGCGGTTATTTAACAGTAATGTTAAGAGCATTCTGCTCTACGTCTGCGAAGCCTAGTTTACCACCGACAATCTGATCCATAAACTGCAAACCTTTATAAACAAATGTCTTAGGAGAATTCTGAAAATCTGCTGGTCCCGCACTATTAGATTTTCCGAACTATGGTAAAGATGCCGCCAACTTCATTTGAGAAAGCACCAAATAAAATCAGCAAACAAGTATTAACATGGAATCCTCAAAGAAGCAGAAGACCTGGTAGGCCCAAGCAAACGTTGAAGCGAACACTAGAGAAGGACATCTAAGCAAGCGCAAGAACCTTTCGAGACATTAAAAGCCTGGCAAAAAGTCGTGGCAGTTGGAAAAAGTTCGTTATGGCCCAATGTTCCTCTGGAAACGCACTGGAATGAATGTAATGTTATGGACAAATTAAAATGTAAAATCTTCTACCAAAATAATGCGACAATCCATCCTATATTTTAGTGTGTAGGAACTCACGCGGAGAAACTACGCATTCCTCATAATCATCACTGCAGAAGTTGTGGAAACCCTCAGGAATAATAAATACATTTTCTAATAATGCATTTTCTCTGTGAATGCCCGGCTTTGGCGTCCAGAAGATATAGGCTTTTAGGAAGATACTTCTTTGATAGTTTATTAGACTGTTCATCGTCATCGACCTATTAAGTTATCGAAATTCGATTCTTGCGAGGAATGTGGTAGCAGAACGGCGAAAAATCGCTAATTGAGGTACATGGGAGTTATCTATTGGTTTGCCACTGCAATCAACTAACCATCCTATGTTGACAATTCGCCTACAACTTTTAAAGCTTTCATGTTATATGAGTCATTCTTTTATAAATTGGACAACTTTTTGTCCTCATGATCTCCGATTGGGCTGAAATTTTTTTATGAGCTCCTATTATAAAATAATTTTATGTTGGGAACAATTTTTCTAAATTTTTTCTAGGAGATATAGACTCATGGGATTTTGAGAATTGGCATTGTAGACACATTTTCAAACGGCTATATCTCAAGCTCTATAAATGGTAGGAACTTGAAATTTACTGCGTTTTAAAGATAAATAAATTTCAAAAAAAATTTTTCAAAAGACGTTGCCAGAATTTTCATTTTTTATATTTTATTTAGATTTGAGAAAAAGTAAGCTTGCACCATATTATTTATAAGAAACTTCTCTAATATATACGGTAAATATATTGTAGAATAAATAGAATATTTTACTTGACCGAAGAAACAACTATATCGTTAGGATGAGAAAATGCGCTTTCTTTATTAACTGAAATTCTGAGTATTTAAAGTACCTCTGAAATTGTTGGATTAGTTGTTTTTATATTCCACTATGATGAGGTGGAAAAAAACTTCAATCTTAAGACACGGGCAAGTTTTGTAAGGCAAACAACTATATGAAGGAGTATATTATATTATTCTACTAGTATTCAGTATAATGCGCTCGGCGATATTTTATCTAGCATAATAACTAATTAATCAAATGAAGAAAATATTTTTACAATCTTTTACATGTTAAGGAGATTAATAAAATAAGCTTTTCGGCATTTAGGAATATGCATAAAATTGCAACGGAACTCTAAAATGAAACTTGCAAAGCCCAATGCGAAAGTTAGGAATGTACGCTATATAAAGATCTCGAAATGATCATATGCTAACTACAATCGTTAAATGTGCTGAATGGACTTAAACACATATAGTATTATAAAAACTACATGTTTTTTTTATATCAGAAAAAAATTTTCAGTAATCATATTTTTATATAATATAATTTTCATGCAATTATTTCCTATATTTCCAATTATCTTGAGCTATAAAATTGTAAAATTTCATTTAATGAGTGGTTGGAATTAGGCTCTATTGTAATTTTCAATTTACAAGTATCTGTTTGATATTGTCTTAACATAATATTTGTATTTATATAATAATCACATTTAAATTATTTGTTATATTTTATGGTATTTGTTACATTTTACAATATTTCTAGTACACTATATCTATCCCAGCACCTCGTATGATAGCCTAAATAGACCACGCCCTAAACACCAGAACTATTTATATATTATATTAATATGCTAACAAAGATGTTCTAATTATATCGCTTTAAAACAATACCTTATGTATGCTTTTATGTGATTTTAACAGTGAACCTAGAATATGCTATAATATAGCACTAAGAAGTTTTTATGTATTAATATAAATCGTCCTATTATAGTTAATGTTGTTTACATTGTCAACACCTTAAATTAGTTGTTTTCATACTTAATATATTGCTTAGGTCTTTCGCTTATATTCTACGCATGAAATCCTTCTTGTACAACCAGTAGGTGTACAGTTAAATCTCTAATAAACAACAGAATAAATATTTCGAAAAGTAACATCACGTAACATCCTCAGTAAGACAGAACTAATGCCAGGTTATCTCATAGAACTTTAAGAAGTTCTACGAAACACTTTATACTTCCACTTAAATTAGAACAGATTCTTTAAGGTGATAATATAACATATGCTGCTACCTAAACATGATGGGATTTTTGAGGTGACGGAATATCAGCTTTCATTGTGCGGTTATTATTGAAATATTGACACTGTAGCACTTTGCCTTAACCAATTTAAGAACTTTTACAAGAAAGACATTTAGGCTTTATTTTAAAGAGCTGAGTGAATTTTATTCGGTAAAGGTTAGTTATGGAATGAAAGACTTATTATAAACGCAATGCAATGTTTCCTTTATTATTATACTCTGTTTTTCTAACTACAAAAATAGATTGAAGGACAATAAAAAATAAGATATAAATATCTAAAGGGTAACACCGAATGAATCTTAATCGACCCCCTACTGGCCCCTTCTTAATAAGTGAAGCTACTTTAAAATACTTAAATAAATTTATTTAATTAATTTGTTTATTAATTTGAATTCGTGAAAACATTTTTAATATTCGTTTTTAATAAAATTACTAACATTTTTATTTGCATTATAAGTTCAAATCATAATTTGTTCGTTGATATATCTCCGAACTATTATATTGAATGTGGCCCCCACAGAGACCTAACGGAGGTCCAATGAATGATGTACCAGATGTACCAGAACTGCTGGGAGTTAAGTCAGCTGGAGTAGAAACATGTATAAGAGGAATAGGTGGATGATGAAGCTGAAGATTCGATGTTGAAGTGCAATAGTCTATGAAAGGAAACATTAGTTGTATTTAGTAAATTATTTTAAAAGTCTTAAATACTTAATATAGACTTACACAATTTTACGACAATGTAACTAGGTAAATATTAGACGCTAATATGTAAAACAATACAAAACGAACACAAGATGACATGAAGGAATACAAATACAAGATAGGGATATACTGGACATTGTTGCATGTATACTGAGACATAAACATTAGGAATTATGGTCACTTGCATTAATGGACATTTGGCGCATCGCAAATGTTGTCTCTAGACAAACAAAATAAACATTTCAGTAAATAAAATAAAATTAAATATAAATAAGTTATCTTTAATATTATATGAGTCAACATTGATCACCTGGCGTTCGGAAGCCTTCCTGCACTTTATAGATTTCATGTAATTCGCGTGCACTGCACAATGGTGTATCGACCTGTGTTGTCTCATTAAAACGTGCATAATCAATCTCATAAGCCTGTAAATTTTTATTGTACACTACAACTGGATCGAAACGATGACCCCATAGTATTTCCGTATTAATATAACTAGAACGTGCTTGTGTTGACTGTCCAGTTGACTCCACGGTGCCTTCGAGTATGACAACAATTTCGAATTTGTCTTGCAGCAAATCTGTTGCAGACATATTATAAAGTGGCGAGTTCTCGTCTATCTTATGCTCAATAACCATTGGCCATATAAAGAACAGACTCGAGCCACTCTCATCTGAACCAATTTCTAATTCGGTGAAGTATTGTGTCATTACTTCACCTTCCTTAGTAGTGCGTGTGCGCACCAACTGAGCACGCACCGCTGCTCCTATAATATGCGATTTCCGCATATCACCCACACGAAACATTAGAGTAAGAAAACCATCTCGTTGACAGATGACGGCGTTTTTTGAGAAGAGTAAGGTTTGTGCGCGTTGCTTGGCGCGTGTCATTTTAGCGAAGACAATGCCAGCCATAAAGGCTGAAGACATTACACCATAAATAGACTGGAAGCACATCATAAATATTGCCTCGGGACATTCAGGCGAAGTAGTGCGCACACCATACCCAATCGTGTGTTGCGTTTCGATTGAGAACAGAAAACAGGACGTAAAACCTTCAATGGCGGAAACACAAGGCTGCCATCCACTTTCCTCTGCGAATTACAAAATTAAATTCTTTAATAAAACATATAATTCAATTTTAAAAATATTTTGTGTAGGTAATTATAAATTTAAAAAATTTTATTAACAATTATGTTGGTAATTATTTAAATTTTTTTTATTTAATAATAAACACTTATGCAAATTCCTCACCTTGATTGTCAGGTAGGTGCATCTCCTCTAAATCACCGTGTGTATACATTATAAGCCACCACAGAACAGCAAATATCAACCAGGAGAGTATAAAACTCAAAGCAAAGACCAACAAAGTCCAACGCCATTGTGAGTCCACCAGAGTTGTGTACATATCCTGCAGGAATCGCAAACGTCGCCTGGTTAAATTTTTCTGTAACACATTGCAATCGCCATTTTTGAACACTGCCCGGCGACGGACTTTACGCATACTCCCGGGTCTATAATTTCGAGATCTGGAATTAAAATTGAAAATCTCTTATTGAACCGTTTTAAGTTGCGCACAAAAGTATGCAATAAATACGAAGAGTAAATATCAGATAAAATTTGTGGAATGTATGTATTTTGCAAAACAGTGTGGTTCATAATAACAAAAAATAGAATATTTATAAAAAATATTTGTGCAAAATTTGTATTTTACTATATACGAGTGAACTAAATGATATAGAATATATAGAATGATGTAGATTAGCCCATTGATAGAACTAAAGATAACAAATTAACGCATTTTGATTTTATAGATCGATGCTTGCAATATAATATCAGTTTACTTTTAAAAGGTTTTCGAGAGGTTTCTATATCTACTCATCGCTGTGAGCGAAAGATGAAAACGTAATAATGAACATAACATAATGGACTTCAAAGTAAAACGCAAAGAAGGTAGAGTCTGCAGGAATGTTTATGGCCTCACTTTTTCAGAAAAACACGTGATATATTTCACATAGATTAACTTCTCTCTACGTCTAGATTCTTTCGCTTAATTAATAACTTCTTTACAATGTAATATACATCAGCTTTGTTTTTATTTTTTTGCAACTTGTTATGATCGTATACACTACAATTTTGTGTTTTTTCTTTGTCATAAGGACTGCACTTATGCCCAACTGCCAAAATAGATTTAAATATCAATCAATTTTTTTGTTGTTAACACCAGTTACTTCTCTATATTATTTATTTTTCTTAGAATATAATAAAACGTAACTTCAAGCACATATGGTCATTCTCAAAACTCTCGCTTATCTTTTACAGCAAAAAAATAGCCAAACACAAATAGTTTAGAAATATATAAATTTTTAATACTATTAGTTTAAATACTGAAAGCTGATTTTTTACTCCTTTTGTATTCTTCTTATTATAGATATCAATTCCGTAAATACCCACTAATGAATTTAGCTGATTACGATTCTAGGTTAAAAGCTTTGATATGTTCATACTCAGCGAATTTTTACATCCAAAGTAGATAACTTAATATACGCAAATAACCTGTGTGTAATGTCACATACAAAATAATTAAAATAAAAAGCCAACAAACTGATGCCAACAGTTAATAGAGTTGTAGTGGCAACACCAGCAATGGCACTTCTCGTAGTACGGCGTGCCAAAAAGAATTACGACAGACCAAGGACGGCAGTTCAAATATAAACGATTCGAGTAGCTGGCAAAAATGTTGGGGTGCAAAAGGCACCGAACTACCACGACCTCCCTCAAGCAAATGGGCTAGTGGAACGTTTCCAACGCACCTTAAAAACGGCACTGAGGTAATGCCTAAGATGAAATGGACGAAGGCTTCACCGTTAGTAATAATGGGGCTAAGGTCAGCATATAAAGACGACCTACAAGCGACACCGTCAGAGCTGGTTTATGGCACAAACATACGCATACCGGGAGAAATGTTCGATAGCGAAGAAAAACAAGTACCGCAGACGGAGTTCGTGGAGGTATTAAAGACAATGATGATGGAGCTGAAACCGTTACGAACCTCACGTCATATTGCGGAGAATCCGTTCGTGTATAAGGCCTTAAAAAACAGCACACACATATTCCTACGCGACGATGCTGTATGTCCACCACTGAAGCAGCCATATGAGGGTTAGTATGAAATAAATCATGGCGAAAAAACCTTAACAATTAAGGTGAAAGGACGGACAGTAAACTTTAGTATGGACCGCGTGAGACCAGCATACGTGGCGATTGAAACCAGGGAAAGTCTGACAAGAGCACAAGTGGCATTCAACATACATTGTGACCGAAAGGTTTTCGGAAATTCTCATTTAAAATTCGCGCGCTGTATATTTTTCGATATTTTAAGTTTATGTAGTTTGGCAGCACTGTCCTTAATTACTATGCCAAAAATGAGCGCGATCTGTCGGACAGTTCGTTTACGGCAGCTGTTGAAACCAGTTCACCTCAGTAGTGCGTTGCGAAAAAAACAATGGAAAAAAATATTGAACAAAGAGTTTGCATCAAATTTTGTTTTTCGAACGAAATTTCGTGTGCAGAATCGTTGCGAATGCTACAAAAGGCTTATGGGGAATCAGTTTTATCGAAAACTCAAGTTTATGAGTGGTACAAAGCCTTTCAGGACTGTCGTACGACCGTCGAAGACATGCCGCGTTCTGGACGACCTTCGACCTCTACCACCGACGAAAACATTGAAAAGGCAAAGGAAATCGTGTTCAAAAATCCTCATGTGAGTGTTAGAGAGATAGCACGAGAGCTAGGCATCGGTCGTGAGATGGCTCGTTTGATTTTGGTGGACAATTTGTGTATGCGACGTGTCAACGCCCGGCTTGTTCCGATTCACCTCAATTTGTTCAACATTATCAACGATTTTAAGGCCAAACATTCAATAAATACCATCGAACAGCCACCGTATTCACCTGATCTTGCACCGTGTGACTTTTTCCTGTTTCCCAACCTCAAATTACCACTCAGAGGAACGCGTTTTGAATCCATAGAAGACGTAAAACAGAATTCGCAGAGGGAACTCAAAGCCATACCGGAAAGCGCCTATAAAAAATGTTTTGATGATTGGAAGAAACGTTGGCATTTGTGTATCGCTTCTAATGGAGCATATTTTGAAGGAGATAAAATAAATATTGATGAAGGTTAAGAATTTTGCGTTTTATTTAAAATTTCCCGAAAACTTTTCGGTCACAATGTACACCGAAGGTGACCCGAACGGGAAGAGTTGTACGATTTACTACGAAATATACCACATAATGGCGACTAGAATAGAATGACAGTTGCAATGACAGTTGTCTTTGTGATTTGTGATTTCATAAAAAGGTGCAATTTTTACTTTTTAACAATATTAATTATTATTACTATATAAATCATATAAAAATTAATGCACATATCTTGAAAGATATATGAATTTAATAGCTTTAATATTTAGCTGTAGGGTATTTAGTACACACACTGAAGTTGATATATAATTGAAATTAAATCATTTGTTAAATCATTTAATTGACATTTTAACACGTTCTTATATGCAATTTTTTCCTAGATGCTTTTGTTTTTACAAAATTACATTAATTCAGTTTTGCATATTAATTAACGAGAAGTGAGTACAATTCTGCATACTAATTCTTCAGACTATGCATCAGACAGCCCAGATAAATAGTTGCATAAAATAATTTAAATAAAAATTTAGTAACAAATGTTCAGAAAGTATCTACAAGTTTTTACAAATTAATTAGTATACTTTCATTTGAATATTTATAAGGATTTATGACTAAAACTAAATCAAGAAAAATATATAGTTGTGTCTTTACAAATATTGAAATTTTGCAAGCAATTGAATTTACAAAGTAAACTTCATACAGAATTATCATTTCGCTAATAAATAGTTTTCAGATAAGAACTAAAGATATAGTTGGAAGTAGTTATCTATGCAGTTTTGAAATACTGAAAATTCGAAGACCTGTTAAGTCAGTCAACTTCAGTAGTACATCACAATATGTCCAATGACGAATCTTCGTTTTTGACGAAGAGTTTAACATACCTTCGTTAAATCAGTCAACTTCAGTAATACATCACGATTTGTCCAATGAAGGAAGGTTTTAGCGAAGACTTTACCTTGTAGTTTCTTACGATTACAATTTCTTTTATTATGAGCTAACTTTCTAGTGATTAAGAAAGCCTAACTAACGTGAGACGGATTGCTACTGGATCCATATACTACAACTTTTATAAAAGACTTATTGTCTTTTATTGTCTAGTGTTATTAAAACTCTAGGCTTTGTCCACATCAGTATTTGTTACGAGCTCTCTTTCTAGTGATTAAGAGTGCCTAACGATCGTAATACGGATTGGCACTGGATCCATATACTACAACTTTTATGAAAGACTAATTGTCTTTTATTGTCATGTTATTAAAACTCATCAAACTAATTTAATATGTTATAAGGATACTAATATTGGAACATACTTTTTTATCTCTGTGGTCCGTGCTCAAACCTATTTATTATATTATTAATGCAAATGTAACACACTCTTTATATATGGACAGTCTGTAGATCCATGTAGATCACATCAGCTAATAATTGCAACCGGTCACTTATATTATGTAGCGCTTATAAAAGTAACTGTAAATAGTGCTTTACCTTAAAGACATTGCATTTCTACAAAAGTACTTGAAAAAAACTGTGACGAGGTACTCATTTTTGTATTCTTATCAACTTATTTTACATTCGAAGTCTGACCTTAAGCAATACAAATATTTAAAGAAGATGCTCTAAAATATTGATGTTTAATTATAAATATATAAAGTGTATTTATGTTCTTATAATTATGTGATATATTTTTCAATAATCATTATCAATTAAGTCTAATTACACCCACTCAAAGTGATGTATTATTACTATCTCAGTTTGATTATCAAATAAATCGATTCGACAAGCATTTTTATATGAAAGTACGCCTTTTTAACACGTTCATTGTTTGTATTCTTATTTATTCATTAGATATTCAAACCACACTCTAACGAGCTTATAAATGCTAATAATATATTATTACCTACATACATATATATACATGCATGTATGTATATATTTATGTACATTCTATTGTGCTCTGTTCAATTGCAGATAATCTTTATTAAATGAACTAATATGAATATATCTATCATCATTCATTCATCAAAGCGGCAATTATTTAATAATAAAACACAAATTACTAAATTTATTTAATAATTAATTAATAGATATTCGCACGATCCATTGATCTCGGCTTGTGACACTTTAATTGCTTCATTGATTACACTGAAGAGAGTGCAAGTTCAATTAATTTAATAGCGCATTACACAAATGAAAAACAGAGTGAACTATAAGAAATATAGAGGGTTTAATAGATCATGGCTAAGTGATAAATAATTTAGTAAGAATGTTATCCGAAATGTTTATATTTATGTATTTAATTATTAATTATTTGCTTTTTATAAAAACTATTTTCC